GAAAAAAAAAAAAAAAAAAAAAAAAAAAAAAAAAAAAAAAAAAGCACAAAACACATGTGGCAGTGGATGGGACCCACTGCCACATCATTATTTAGAGTCACCACTAATTAGTGGTCTAAAGCATTTTTGTTTTTATTTTTTTTTATTTTTTTTAGAATAACAGACAACTTATATATGGAGTTGTGAATAATATAAACTTTTTTTTTTATATTGTGAATAATATACACTTTTTTTTTTTAATAAGGATTATAAGTGTCAAGATTAATATATTTTTTAATTTTTTTATAAATATGTAAAATATGAGTTAGTTTTAAGTGATATAGGCCTTGTTTGGGAAGTGATTATTTAGTAGACTTTTTGTTTTTTTGCTATTTTAGTTTGTGTGTTTGGGAAGTTGGTTAAATTTTTGGTTGATTGTTGTATTGAAAAATGTGTTTGGAATGATGTTTAAATTGAAATGACAAATTTGCCTCTGACTTTATTTTTTCCAAAATTGTTGTGTAGGAGTAATATCGTAATTTAACCTGTCTGCAGCCTACACTGTTGTGGCAGTGTAGGCTGCGTTGCTGCAGCAGCCGTTGCTTTGGACTTTTTTTTTTCTTTTTTTCTTTTTTTTGAAAATCAATGGTTGGTGAGGCTTTTTGGCTATTTTCTCATTTCAGGCTAAAACAGCCTCTTTCAAGGCTTCCCAAACACCCCATAATAGAAATGTGATGTGACTTAAATAAAATGATTATATCTAAAGAAGATAATGTGTTAGAATAACATGTGCTATTTTAGAACATACCAAAAGTGTTGTTTTGGAAAGTTGGTAAAAAACTGACTTTTTGACTTTTTAACCTTTTTTGTGGCTTTTTTTGGCAAAAATTGGATTTTTTTTTGGTAAAAAAATTAACTTTTTTGGCTAAAAAATATGACTTTTTTGGCTAAAAAAAGAGTGCTACTATTAGCACCTGCCAAAAATTCTTTGGACCCCCATTTTATAATTTTTTTTATTACAATTATACCCTAAAGTAAAATTACATTAAAAGACATTATTAAATGGAACACTCACCTATCAATAAAAACTAATACTCTATAATATTGGACATCCACCCCCACTCCACCTCCACCTCCACCTTCACTATACATATTCCATGCTTGAAAACCCTAAACCTATTACTTTTCATACAACTAATATAAATCATAAATCTCTTATTTTTCATAATCATCTTAAATCCTGAATGTGTCATCACCATCACCATCATCAACGCTATTAAACTTTAAAGTTTTGCTTCAAGTATAACGTATACTTCATTGCTTATTTTACTTGTTAGAGTAATAGAGGACGAGGACAACAATTCTAGTGAAACCGGCGTTCCATTAATAAGTTTATCTGTCTTGTATTAACATTCTCGGTCGTTTTCGATCGTTCTTGTTTCGTTCGAGCTGTTCGGTATTGGTTGCTACTGTTAGAATTATGTTCGGTAATACAGTACTGAACATAATCCTTTCGTTCAATACATAGGTTCCGACAATTAATGCAAAATGTTAGTTATGTACTTTTCTTTGTTAAACTAACTTAGAATGGAAAAGAATGAATTGAAATGGATTTAAGTTATGTATTTTGAATGGATTTAATTCGTGTGTATTTTAAGTTGTGAATTGGAAATGGATTCAAGTTACACAGTGATGAACAAATTTTGTTCGGACATATAGTGCTAACAGGATCATTATTGTTCAACAAAACAGTTCTGAACAAAATACATTTTTTTGCTACACAGTGGTGAACAAATTCAAAATCATCACTCGAATATGCTGATCTCCTATCGAGATTCTTGAATTCAGGGCATTTAGATGAAAGCTTTAATCTGGTTCTTCTGGCCTGTCTCCAAAAACCCAAATGTAGAAACTGAGATTCTCAAATAAATCAATAAGAAATCCGAAGCTCCGATCTACGAAGAAGTGAAAGACATGGTTTACACACACGCGTCGCTGAGCGAGACCATGAGACTTTACCCACCCTTCCTCATTGACGAAAAGCAAGCTTTAAAGAACGACGTGTTGCCAGATGGGATAGTGTGAAGAAGAGTATGATTGCCACCTGTGATGGTATTAATGATGTTAAATTAGTGGTATATAGCATTGCCCAAATAAAAAATGCACTAGTTCCGACCCTGACCTTTTGGGTTAAGCCTATGCGCCTCCATCATCTTCTTCTTCATCGTCTAGGGTTTCTAGGGTTTTCAGAGCCGCCACACTCGTCTATACATAGCGTTTTTAGGGTTTTCGGAGCTGGATCCACTTTCCTTCCTCAGAAGAATCTCCATGCGCCGCTGGTTTAGCGGCTTCGTTGATTAGACGGAGCCTCTCTCTCTCTTACCCTCTCTCTCGTCGGCCAGCCTTTCAAAGTTCCGATTTTCGATCGTTAGGGTTTCATTTTCTCAATACCTTGTATGAGTTCTTGCTGTGTATGGTGTAACGATAAGGTTCGATTAGGGCAAGGTTGATAGTTTTTGCTATATATATATATATATCGGTGTGTAGGTTTCGGGGGTGGAAGGGTTGAGATTTGAATGGCATTGGGAGATTTGATGGCGTCTCGATTTTCGCAATCATCGGCGGCTGTTTCGAATCACTTGGACGAGTGCTCGAATGCTGAAGACGTGGATTTGGTTGGGCAAAGAAGGGATAGGGATCCCGACGCTGCGAGCAGTAGTTATGGCAATGGTGCTACCACTTCCACTGCTACCAGCATGGCTTATTTGCCACAGACTATCGTTTTTTGTGACTTTCGACATGAAGATTTCGAGGATTGTGTTCCATCTGGTCCGTCTGATAGTGGGTTGGTCTCGAAATGGCGGCCGAAGGACCGAGTAAGCTGAATTTTATCCCTTTATATGCCCTTTCTGTTTGAATTCATAATCTATGTTGAGGCTTTTGGTAATTAGGTAAATTGATTTTGATTTTGATTTTGTGGGAACTAGATGAAAACCCACTTTACTGAATGTTGTTATTATATTGTGTTGTCTGTAGCAATTCATGATCTTGGCTGAAGGCCAACATGGCATTAATCTATTAGGTGAAATGAAGCATCTAGAGTTTCTAGATGGAAAATGACTAAAATTAGTTCGATTTCAAGTTGCAGAAATTGTAGAACATTGGTTATGGAATTCTCTTGACAACAAGGAATTTGTAGGTACGTTAAATTAAAGGTGCAATGCTAGGAGGAGGAGGTGGAGGGGGTGGATGGAAAAAATAGGCTTAGGGTTTAGGATTGAAAGGGTTACCTTTTTGGGATTGTTAATGTTAGATCACCAAATTGTTTGAAAAAACTTAAGTTGATAGGGAATAGGCCTAACAATGCATATCAAGCTAACACTTCCCCTCATGTGCGATCCAGTCACACATGTGAAGAGACAAAAAAGACTCGCACATGGAGAGACAAAGAAACTGAACCAAACAAGGTGCACCAACGTAGGTGATACAAAATTTGAATCCAGGACTTCTTGAAATTAGAGCTTTGATTGCCATGTTAGATCACCAACTGTTCCAAAATCTAAGGTGAAAGGAATTGGGGCTAGACAATGTATATCAATCAAATAGTTAACAATATTTTGAGAATTGTGTGTAGTGAATGAAGAGAAAGACAGTTTCAGCTTGAAATTTCTTGTGAATCAACCAACTAAGAAGTGCATATGCGAAATCGAGAGATGGATATGATATAATGTGAACATGTGACATGACAATTTAAAAAAAAAATTAGTGCACAATTAAGCATAGGAGGAATATTTATGAGCTGATGCTCTGTTTGGGTTTTCACCTAATTTTCAAGGCATACAAGCTTAGTAGAAGGTGGTGCTACAGCAGATACATGATGGGAAGGGAGCCAATACATGAATCATAATGGTGGCAATTAGAGCTGCAACTCAGGCAGATTTGGTCTGGTTGAGGGTCTGTCCAGGACCAATGTAGAGGCATCTGCCAAAGCACGTTTTCAAAATTTGCATGCACTTCCTACTCAAATTTGAGCCCAAGTTTAATCCAAAGAATTTGGGCTAAGCTCGATTTGCCCAAATTCAAACACACAAAAATTATCTTTTGTTGTCCTAAACTAATAAATAGCACTTTTTGAAAATAGCAAAGAAAAATATCTAAAAAAATGTAAATACAGAGCATAATAAGTAATTAGTTTGAGTTGTGTACCGAATAGTAGAATATATTACATTGCAATGTGATTATATCTAAATGGTGAGAAAGTAATTTGTAATTTATAATGCTTGATATTTATTGTATACAATTAATATATTAACAATAAAATTCCGATTTCTTGATTTGCTCAGGTTGTAAGGACTCCTGCCCAATCCCTATCTGAATTTAATTCGGGTTGTCAAATTTTAGTCTAAGGCCTAGCCAAATTTAAAATTATGTTGTCCAAGCCCTAAAATTATTCGGGTTGAACTTGGGTTGCTTAGGTTGAGCTAGCCTAAGTTACACCCATGGTGGCAATAAAGGTGGTGCCGCTGTTCAAGGCTGTAGTTGGGCTGAGAGTAAGCAGAGCAGTAGCTATAGAATTAGGAGTAAAGTGAGAGGGATTGACTAGATTAGGTGAGACAAGTTTTAAAAAGCGTTTTTTACTGTTGTGTAACTATAGAGGTCCCCTTGGCTACCTGTTACAACTGTAATATCAGTTATAATAAAAACCAAAGGTGTAATGGCTGTTACAGAACTATAACAGCACAGTTGGTTCCTGGTTGTATAAAAGCTCAATTTTATTTTTAGAGTTATCCCCTTTAAGCCTTTCAATCTCATACAAAACACACAGTTCACCTCTGTAGATTAACAGTTGAAAGAGAATATGTAGAATGCTCTTCATAGCAACTTAAAACTAGTAAAAAATTAGCACATATATTGGACCATGTTTAAAATTAAATAAAACACATGAAAAAGCCATTTACAATCCCAATAAATGTGATTATGAAATAAAAACCTGTGTATTGGTAAATTTTTGTGAAGCTGTGCGTAGTAAAAAAAATAAAAATCATAGCCATATTTGTTTAAAAGACAAATAGGCTACTTATTTGTACTTCTATATTCCTCCACCACCAAATTTGCTGTTACAAACTTCCATAATCTGTCTTTTTCTTATCCCATTTTGTCTTTTCCACGGGTTTAGGTTTTATTTATTGTGGGGGTGGTTAATGATCTCAATTATTAGCTGAGATATATCTCACCCTCCTTATTTTGACTGGAAATATTATGCTTGCAAATTCTCTTTTGTTAAGATATTTTTGCATGAAGTTTATGGTGCACATGCCCAGACTATCGTCGTTCGTGCTCTCGTTGACCCTATCTATGGCCTCGTTTGGTAGAGCTGTGGAAAAGTGATTATAACTTATAGCCTAACAGCTTATAGCCTATAACTGTGAACATAAGCTGATTTTTGACTTATAAATTAAGGTTCTCCTCCCCCACTCAAAGAATAAGTTGATTTTTGACTTACAAAAAGCTATAAGCTGTATTATTAAGCTGAACCAAACACATCAAAATAGCTTAAATTAAGCTAAAAACTGAAATAAGCTGGAAATAAGCTCTACCAAGCAGGGCCTATGTATATTTTGAATTGGAGTTATCCTTTCGTAGCTAGCTTATGTTAAAGGTCATTCTGGTTGATAATGTGACTAGTTATTGCAGATTTGATAATATTTATACTTATGTATTGTTTTTGTATAACTCCAAACATTTATGGCAGATGAAAACAGGATGTGTTGCACTTGTTCTCTGTTTAAACATTAGCGTTGATCCACCAGATGTAATTAAGATATCTCCTTGTGCCAGAATGGAGTGCTGGATAGGTACAATTGTCACAGTGCTTATATTTTGGTTTCATCTGTGCTGTTGGACATTGCAGTTTTAGCTTTTTTGCTCTAATTTATAATCCTTCTTTACTCTGTTCATTACATTAATTGGCAAAATCCTGAGATATATTTTGTTGCTGGCTAGTGAATTGATTGATCATTTGTGGTCCCTTGAAAGATTACTTGTGTTGGTTTTTTTGGTTTTTTGTGGAAAGCAAGTATCTTTTGCATTACTAAAATGTTGGTGTTGGTTTTTATTCATAATAAGAAGTGGTTGTTCATTTGAAAGTTTTTATTCCAGAATCTCTCTTGCAGAGTCAGTCATTGGTTTCACATTTCCATTGTTGATACACATATATCTGAACTTTCGCAGCCTACAATTATTTGGTCTAGAACGTGGCAGTTCTTCAGATACGATCCTTTTGGTTACTCTTTGCATTTCAAGTTGCCCAATAGGAAATACATTCCAAGTTTGAAGAAAATAATTTGATCCAATGACAAAATAAAAACAATGTGGATTTGTGCCTATAATCCGTCCACCTAGACTTTTGTAATTTTCGGAATTTAAAGCCCAAAAATTGCAATTTATTTATGAATAGAGGTTTCTAAAATATAATTTATTCACTGTTGATGTTGGTCACTTTGCCTCGTTATGCCCATTTAGTGGGATGGCAAACTAAAATAGCATTATAGTTTTTCAGGGGTCTCTTTATTCTTGTGTGTGTGTGGGGGTATGTATATACTATACTTATCTTGTCTTTGACTTGTAAACTGGCCGGTTGTACCAGAGTCATGTGGTTTGCCATTACTTATTCAGCCTCAGATTTTTCAGTTATAGCTATAACAATGCATTTATTTTACCATTTTGGATTTTTAAAAAGTATACATTCTGCTGACTGCATCAACTTCAGGTGCCTTGCTTGTGATTATTGTATATTGGACTTGTTTGTTCCTTTTTATGTGTTCATGTGATATAAAATATGTTCTGTTGTATTTGATTTCATGTGATTTGACTTTGCTTTATTGTGTGTGTTAATGGTGTATATGCTTGTCAAACTTGATATGTGGATTCCATTTGCCCTTCATTTCATTTTTGTCTGCAATTGGATGGATCATAAAGGAAATAGTTTTGTATCTCTAGATGAAATATTTGGATTCATTTTATCTTTCAATTTCTTTCGTTTTGCAGATCCATTCTCTATGGCCCCTCAAAAAGCACTTGAAACAATTGGGAAAACATTGAGTCTTCAGTATGAGAGGTGGCAACCAAGGGTGAGAAGATTTTAGTTTCTAATTGTATTATTGGGTACTGCATTAAGTTCAAAATTCATTTAGAATGTGCTTGGATGATGGTTTTGTAGTGCTTGCGATATTTAAAATGATGGATTTACCGTATGCATATTTAAAATCTCTAGCTTGGGCAGAAGACTCTCTCTCTCTCTCTTGTGTGTGTGTAAAGGATTTCTTTGCCCCCAATCCATGCTCGAATACATTGTTTTGACGAAGTTATGAATTCAACCGAAACAATGGAGTTATTGTGTCTAATTGTTCTGCAATTTTTCAATGAAAATGATGACAGAAATTATTTCAAAGTCATGAAAGACTGAAACATTAGGGCTATAATCTTTGTCATTTAGGTAATGAATGGGAAGGAGTCCCTTTTACACTATGTGTTGGGGAGTGTGTGCGCAAGAGGGAGAGAGAAATAGGTGCTTTTTATCTGTCATTGTATTTCAATAGTCCGTGCACTCTGAGCTTCTTTGAAAATTTACAAATAAGACTTTTTGAGAAATTTCATGTGCATTTGAATTCCCCCTTCTGGGGTGCTAAGCATGTGGAAATCTTTTGGGGGAATTAAGAATTCTCATATCATTTTATCTTAAGTGGGTGTAGAAGTCTTGATTTTCATGTATTTATTTGGTTTGAACCCTCCCCCGTTCCCTCAGACACTGCCTAATCTGTTGAAATTTGGACAGGCTCGCTACAAGATCCAATTAGATCCCACCGTGGAAGAAGTGAAGAAACTTTGTACTACGTGTCGCAAATATGCCAAGTCTGAAAGAGTTTTGTTTCATTACAATGGACATGGTGTGCCAAAGCCAACTGCTAATGGTGAAATTTGGCTATTCAATAAGGTTTCGTTTGCTAACCTGAAACTTTTTCCAGGCCATTTAGTGTTTATCACATGTTGGAATTTTTATCTTTTTCTGATTGTGTCATTTGGTTCAGAGTTATACACAATATATCCCGTTGCCAATCAGTGACCTTGATTCCTGGTTAAAGACACCATCAATATATGTTTTTGATTGCTCTGCTGCGGGGATGATTGTCAACTCCTTCATAGAGGTATTCAATGCTGTCTACTGTCTATTCATAGCTGACATTTTGTTTTTTCCATGGCAAAAGAATTGTTCTTGTTTTTTCTTCAGTTCTCTGGCTAAGTGTGTTTGTTTTATATTCTTATAGCTGCAGGAATGTGGTACTTCTGGTTCCTCTGGATCCTCCACGAGAGATTGTATTCTGCTTGCAGCCTGTGAAGCACATCGAGAACTATTTCTCAAGAGTGCTGAATTTCCTGCTGACGTGCTTTACTTCAGCCTACACCACGCCTATCAAAATGGCATTGAGATGGTGACACATTCTTTTCATTATTGTTATGTTCATTATCAGTTTTAATCCCTTTTCAAGACTGCTAGCTGTTGGCCTGTGTTGCTGAAGTTTTAAGTTTTTCTGCTACGTGATTGTGATATTAGAATAACTGAGGCATTCATGGCTATTGCCAGCATACTTAAGGACATCATCTTGGAGAAATAATGACATCTTAGAATTAACGAGTCCCTGTTCTTCAATTTTGGTGAATGGTCAAATTTGTTTTGAGCAATACGACAACCTTCTAGTTCAGTATCACTTGAGATAATAAAATTTAGGGTAAATTGCAAATATATCCCCTAGTTTTATTCAAAATACAGATTCTCCCCTCACGTTTGAGGAATTACATCCCACCCGTGGAGTTTTCCAATCACATAACAAATGGCCCCCTTCGTTAATCAACCATTAAGTCAAACTAACCGAGTGTATGACACAAGCAACAAATTTCCCCCCCTAGAAATACCTATATTAATCGTTATGAAGTTAAAACACTTTATTTTATGGTTGACTGTTGATAGATGTTCCCTTATTCTTCATTCCTTGCAAATTAATTATGCTCATTTTTTTTGGTTGTCACATTGGCATGCTGTTTTTGTTCTTTATTATAGTTCTAGAGTCAGTCGTCATTTGTTTTTTTTCTCTTCTTCTTTGCACTACTCCTGGCTTTATTGGCATTGCCCGTATTTGATGCCTTGAGTGGTTGGTGGTTGGCTGCTTTATTACCATGATATTTGTATCAGCTGGTTTGTGGTTTTCTGTTATTTATGTATTAATTGGACTAGCTAGTCATTTGATTATCATGTTATTTTCCACAGGTTCTGCACTCGTTCATTACTTCGTGAATCTCTTGATTATTCGCTTATAGATAGAATTCCTGGCCGCCAAAATGACCGTAAAACACTTCTAGGGGAATTGAACTGGATTTTTACAGCAGTGACTGACACAATTGCTTGGAATGTTCTCCCACATGGTAATAGGCATACTGGTGGTTTATTTCTTGGTGTGGTTGTTGTAAATGAGCTTTATGGTTACTCCTAATTTTGATGGTATGTTAGTGATAACTCAATTTTGCATCCTGCAGATCTTTTTCAGAGACTGTTCAGACAAGATCTGTTAGTTGCGAGTCTATTCCGAAACTTTTTACTTGCTGAGAGAATAATGCGTTCTGCAAATTGTTCCCCGATTTCATATCCTATCTTGCCGCCGACCCATCAGCACCATATGTGGTAACTATTGTATACATGTGTGATGTCTTTTTGTTTTTTGTTCATTTATTTTGTTCTGATTCTGTTTCACTGACTGCAATTTAGGGATGCGTGGGACATGGCTGCTGAAATCTGCCTTTCCCAGCTTCCAACTTTGGTTGAGGATCCTAATTCAGATTTCCAGGTGTCTTTGAAATTGTGCCTTTTTTTAATTTTATTTTTTATTCTTATTTAATCCCCAAGATTTTCCATACTGTCTTGTGTTTGACACAATTATCTAGTGCATCTATAAATTTGTGTTTACTTTTTCTATTCTTTTGATGTGTATGTCATTATAGAGTGATATTATGTTTTTTTTTTTTTGTTTTTGTTTCAGTCAAGCCCTTTTTTCACAGAACAGTTAACAGCTTTTGAGGTGTGGCTTGATCATGGATCTCAACATAAGAAACCACCTGAGCAATTGCCTATTGTTCTTCAGGTGTGTCTCTTTGCATGGTCCTTATAAACTGTTGGGAGTAATTTTGTCATGTATTCTATATTTTTGTGACTTAAAATAATTATTTTGGGATATAAGTTTCATGATTTCAGCATCTCCTGTGAAGTCCTGTTTCTTTAGTTTTTGATTGGTAAGGTGGAGTGAAAATATTTGCTCATTTTGCTATACTTGGGCCAATTTTCTGTTTGTTTTCTCAATGGATCACTATTCTGTTCCAGCCTTCTGGTAGGAAAGTCTGTAATTCAGAGTAGTTTTAACAAATCTTCTGTGTATATGTTGAGGTTTTAAAGTGTTCTTTGTGATACAGAAATACAAATAAATGACAATACAAGTATTTCTGATGACATTTGCCTGTAAAGGCATTAAACAGGGAAATTGTTTTCTGGTATGGCCATTTACTCATTATTGATGATATTGGCCTTGAATGCGGTGGCTAAAGGGTTACCTGACAGCATAGTGGTTGCTTCATGGTTGTTTTGGGATAAATGCCTTCACTAAAAATTTCATGTTGATTCACAGTTTGCGAGGCAACCATTTGATTTTAGATTATTACTTCTTGTGCATCTCTTTCTATTTAAATTCAATTTTTTTACCACTTTCTCTTCATATTCTGAGGTTGTACTTGGATGAGGGATAGGGATTGATTATAGGATATGATATTCTAAATTAGTGAAAAGTCAATATAAGGTGGTGACCAAATAAATAGGCAGTTGCAGTGGTGTTTCTAACATGGTCGATGGAAGGCAAAACCTGACAGCCATTCCAGCAGCCTCAGCAGTGATTGTGGATATTGCAATGCAATGGTTTTGTTCACACTAATTTTATCGAGTACGGTCCTGTGGAAAAGCAAACCGCTACCTTGGGTACCTACAATAAGGATTTGGGTTGACTAAATGACCCGCTCTCAATGCACATAGATAAGGTTTCAGTACATTTTTACCTTTAGCATATTGCTTCTATGCAAAGAAAATTAAACTTGGGAGCTCAAAATCTTTTTCATAACTGGCATCTAAGAAGCATGACACTTCTAAGAAGGTAACGTATCCGTGTCGTGTCCGTGTTGAACACCGGCACTCTTTGGACATTTTCTTGACACGTATCCTACACTCTACAAAACGTGTTCTATTTTTTAAAGACCCCGGACACTCTTTGGACACTTGGAGGACATACGTGTATCTTTTAAACACACGTGCCTATCGATTAGACATATGTGAAATTAATTATAAGTTTGAACAAAACAACTTAAGATACAATAATAAAGCAAAAACTATATAAATTTATAGGGATTAGTGTCATATTGCATTTTTTATCATCTTTGAATGATATATTTATATATATAACATATAATAAATATATAAAATTATATATTTTATGCGTGTCCCCCACGTATCGTGTCTTGCATTTTTTGAAAATTAGCGTGTTGGCGTGTTCGTGTCGTGTCAAGTGTCTGTGTCCGTGTCCATGCTTCTTAGACTGGCATTCTGTCCTTTCCAAAACTGAAGTCAGTTTTGTTAAGAAAAAGATGTCTATGTTATGCAGTTCTGATTTCTTTTTCTTTGTTTGTTTTGGGGGTTAAACTTAATTTTCCTTCAGCACTCTTGTTCTGCATACTTCATTTTTGTTTCAATTTTGTGTAGCTTTTGTTTTTTTCTACTTTTCTATAAATTTGCTGACCGGTCTTCGAACTGCCTTTATGTCTTAGGTTTTACTTAGTCAATGCCATCGGTTTCGCGCTTTGGTGCTTCTTGGAAGATTCCTTGATATGGGGCCCTGGGCTGTAGATCTGGTAGTTTTATAGCTTTGCTGTTGAAATCATCAAATTTTGTTTTATATATATGCACTTTTTCTGTATGTATGTCAGTGGTTTATGGCATCTCATTTAAATAATGTCCTTGATAAAATTTATGTTCTTGTAGGCCTTGTCTGTTGGAATATTTCCGTATGTGCTAAAGCTGTTGCAAACAATTACTCCAGAACTACAGCAGATTCTTGTGTTTATATGGACGAAGATCCTTGCACTTGATAAGGTTTATATAGAAATGTTTTGATTTGCTAGTTTTAAGCTATTTTAGGATCTACTTTGTCACCATAATTTGAAGATAAACATTGTGGCAGATTATTTGTGTTCGTGATTTTGCTTGCATTTATGTATCCTTGTTTTTGGAATTGTGTTTATTTAAGTTCTGTTTTGCTGGATGACAGTCATGCCAGGTTGATTTGGTGAAGGATGGGGGGCACACATACTTCATAAGGTTTCTTGATAGTGTTGAAGCATATCCGGAACAGCGTGCAATGGCTGCATTTGTTTTGGCTGTTATTGTAGATGGACACCGTCGGGGTCAGGAAGCCTGTATTGAAGCTAATTTGGTGCATGTATGCTTGAAGCATCTTCAGAGTTCAACTCCAAATGATGGACAAGCTGAGCCCCTATTTCTTCAGTGGCTTTGCCTCTGTCTGGGAAAGCTGTGGGAGGATTATACAGAGGCACAGATAATAGGTTTGCAGGCAGATGCCCCAGCTATATATGCACCTCTACTCTCTGAGCCCCAACCTGAGGTCTCCCTTTTTGCTTTATAAATATTTGTATCGTACTAGAGATATAATTGTTGACCTGTGCATTTAATTGTAGAAGTCAAATTCATTTCAGGTGAGGGCATCGGCTGTTTTTGCACTGGGCACTTTGGTCGATGTTGGATTTGACTCATCTAGAGATGATGTTGGTGGAGATGAAGGCGTTGATGATGATGAAAAAGTTAAAGCTGAGATTTGTATTGTTAAGAGCCTTCTAAGTGTTGTTTCTGATGGAAGCCCACTTGTACGGGCAGAGGTTGCTGTAGGTATGTCGACCCTCCGCCTCTTTTGCGTGGTAGAATTCTCTATTGCGTCCTTGCTAAGTATCTTTTTCTACCATTTCTTTGAAGTAACTAGTGAATGGAGCTATGTATTTGTACAGAATGGACTGCAAGAACTAGTAATGGTGTGCAGAGAATTAGCTATGACTTTTGTACCTCAGGAAAAATATTGTTACGTCTCCTGTCATCCTGAACTTACATAATACTTCATTCTGCTATAATTGTGTTGCTCATAAAGTTATTTAAATGACAGAATATCTGAAATATAACAATAAAATTATTGATAAATGATACATTTTTTTTAATGTTTTGTTACATGATTCGGGAAAAATGGTGTCAGGAGTAATGTCATTTGGGATTTTGTTGTTATGTAGGCAAAAATGATTAACAAATGAGTTTGTAGTATAGAAACAACTTCTAAATCAGTTGTAATAGCCTATATGCAAATTTACTTTAGTAGTCTTAGACATTTTATGGGCATGCACTCAAGTGTTATTAGATGGACTTCACTGTGTTCACTTCAAAGCACATGTATTTTTTGTCTTGATTTTCATTGCCCATGCTTATTTCGAATTTGGGAGGGGTGGTGCTATAGATTATGCAAGTGGATATTGTATGTGAATTTTTGATGTGTTGGGATCATATCTTCTCTCCATATTTAACAGCTCTGGCACGCTTTGCCTTTGGCCACAACAAGCACTTGAAGTCAATTGCTGCAGCATATTGGAAACCTCAGTCGAACTCTATGCTTAGTTCCTTGCCTTCTTTGGCCATCAAGGGTACAGGAAGTGGTTACACTACTCCAACGCAATACATGGGTCCTCTGTTGAGAGTTGGTGGAGAAAACCAATCAGCAGTCAGAGATGGGAGGGTCTCCACCAGTAGCCCCCTGGCTACTTCTGGAATAATGCATGGATCTCCACCGTCTGATGATTCATCCCAACATTCTGATTCTGGCATACTCAATGACTGCATGAGCAATGGGCTTGTAAACTATACAAGGCCAAGACCTCTAGACAGTGCACTGTATTCACAATGTGTATTGGCTATGTTTACCTTGGCTAAGGATCCATCACCACGTATAGCCAACCTTGGTCGCCGTGTACTATCCATTATTGGGATTGAACAAGTGGTGACGAAATCTGTGAAGTCCACCAGCAGCAGTGTTCGGCCAGGTGAACCCACAATTCCATCTCCAAGTCTGGCTGGCCTAGCCCGCTCATCTTCATGGCTTGATATGAATGGAGGTATTCTTTTCTTGGTTTTGTGATGTGCTTCTTACAATGTAACAATGTTTCAGATTGTCCAACTGCGGCTCTAGGCCAAGGATTTGGCCTATTGCTTAGGGCTTTTTACAGGACAGAATCAGTGCTCATCTGGTGAGATCTGGATTCTTTCTGAATCTGATCCTAAACAATACCACCTGAACTCAAGTTTACAAAATACTCAGGATCCCATTTTGGTTCGAATCTGAGGCAAATACAGCTAAAAAGTGTCTGTATAATTTCTCAAGTAATAATTAGATTATCCTTTATATATATATTTATATTTATATATGCATATTATTGGATATTATATCATTAAATTAATGGGATCTGGATCCTAATCAAATGAATCTGTAGACCTGAATTCAACCTGATTGTAATTGGGTTGTTTAAAATAATGAAAAATTTATTTGGGTCAAATTCTGGTCAGAATTGGATCTTGATCCAACCTTTTGGCAGTCTATTACCAGACTCATGGCCAGCAATTGTCCTTCCTGTTCATTTAATGCAAAATGTTGCTGAATATGGTAGTCTTCATCTTTTACTTAAACAACGAATCTAGTCCATATAAATACAAGTTAAAACAAATTGACATCTAAAGGTCAAACCATCCATTGTATGCTTTACATCTTTGTGCTTTCAGATATGGACTTCTTTTAAACTTTATGAATTTCCTTTTATTTTTTGATCTATTTAAATTTTCAATGATTTTGTTTTCTTGTTTGGTTTGACCTGGTGTAAGAGTGACCTCCATTTTGTACATCCAACGGAACAAATTAGCTCACTCATGCTGGTGCCCAATTAGATAGCTAACCATCACAGCTGGGTTGCCTACCTACCTCTTAGGTGAGGGTGGCCTAATTGGTTTTGGTGGCCTTGCCCTAAACAGCTATGTTATAAATATTAACAGTGGCTATAAATGTTCTATATCAACTTTGTTACATTGTGTCCTAATATTGCTACTTTTCTTGATTTGCCAAAAAAAATTGCTACTTTTGCCTGTGTAATATTCTTGTACTTTTTGGAAGTTTGAATTTTGCCTTCTGTGATTTTATTGACAGGACATTTGCCCCTTACATTTAGAACTCCTCCAGTTAGTCCTCCTCGACCGAGTTACTTGCGGAGAGTTTGTTCGCTAGAGTTTAGGCCAAACCTAATGAATACTCCAGACACTGGATTAGCTGATCCACTTTTGGGTTCTCATGGAGCTTCTGGGGTTTCAGAGCGTAGTTTTCTTCCACAATCAACTATCTACAATTGGAGTTGTGGTCACTTTTCAAAGCCACTGCTTACAGCAGTAGATGATGCTGAAGAAATATTGGCTACAAGAGATAAGAGTGAAAAACATGCTCTAGACCTCATTGCAAAATGCCAGCATTCTTGTGGGTCTTCACAATAATTGGTCTTTGGTTATTTTTATTTATTTTTTTGTCATTTTGTGTATTTTTATTTGATAATCTACTTGGATTTTGGAGTTGAGTCCTCTGAAATGATTGGTCTTGATTCTATTATGTTGATAAACTTTTGTTTTATAATCTGTAATAATTTTGGCACATTTCCTTATCAGCTATTAACAAATGGCACAATCCAATTGCTAGTTGGGATACAAAATTTGAAACGGGTGCCAAAACAATTTTGGTGCAACCCTTCTCTCCAGTCGTTATTGCTGCAGATGAGACTGAACGAATCAGGTATTTGAGTCTCATGTTTTTTGGTTTTTTTGGGGTGTCTGTAAAATTTATTGTAGGCATCCTAATTATGCACTGAGGATTATGGCAAAGTATGTTAGGATATTAGCAAATAGTTATATTATGCTGATGCCATACCAGCTAGAACATGTTGATGGTCTTTAATCTGGCTGGATATACATAATTGTTATGAATTTCGTTTCTCTGAATCTGCAATTGCAATTGTCTGATGTCAATTTCGGATAAGGTGCTTTAAATTGCTCAACTTGGGAACAAGAATAACTATCCACTGTTCCTTGGTTGTTGATTATCTAACCTTGACCCAAGTTTGTTGAAATACTTACAAGTGAGTTGCGTGGAAATGACATGGATTACTTAACTGGATGGGGATTTTGAGCCTATATAGTTGCATCTAAGTTCTGTTGGAGTGATTTGTTAACTATGGTGCTGGTTCCTGTCTTGTACATTGGTATTAACTGCTTGGTACTTGTATCCTTTCAGGATATGGGATTATGAGAAAACTACACTGCTTAACAGTTTTGACAATCATGACTATTCTGGCAAAGGAATATCTAAACTGTGCCTCGTGAATGAACTTGATGACAGCTTGCTTCTTGTTGCCTCATGTAAATTTCTGCAATGCTGTGTTTGATCAGTTTCATGGTGCTTATGAAGATTCTTTCTGGATTTTTTAAAAATTATTTTTAATTGAATCTAACTTGTACTATACCCCCATGATGCAGCTGATGGGAATATTCGGGTGTGGAAAGATTACACTTTAAAGGGTAAACATAAACTTGTAACTGCATTTTCTTCAATCCAAGGTCATAGACCTGGTGTACGCAGTGTGAATGCTGTTGTGGATTGGCAGCAGCAGTCTGGAAATCTGGTAAATGCTTTACTCTTCCAGGATGTAATATTTATGAACTGTAGGATACATATGTTTTTTTTTTCTTTCTTATTTAAGTTTTTCATTCATTTTCTGTTCGTTCATTTTTTCAATGCCTGCTTCTACTAGTATGCTTCTGGTGAAATTTCATCAATTATGGTATGGGACCTGGATAAAGAGCAGCTTGTTAGTTCTATTCTGTCCTCGTCAGATTGCAGCGTCTCAGCATTGGTGAGTTATTGATATTTGGGGAAACACTATGGTACACACTCCTCAAAGGGTGTGTACCATATGCACCTTATAATTAAAGAAGAAAATAGTATAATTTCATACTTTTTGAGTCATAATTAAAAAAAAAAGAAAAAACAAGTCATGACTAAACATAACATGAGACATAACTAAAAAACTCATGAGTCATAACTAAAATAATTTTATGACTAAAGAAGAAAATTGGTCATAACTGAAGAAAAAAATAGCACAATTTTATGACTAAAGAAGAAACTTGGTCATAACTAAAGAAAAAAATAGCACAACTAGGGGTGCATATGGTACACCCTTTTCAAGGGTGTGTATGTTAGAATTTTCCATATTCTTTTCTTGTATTTACTTGTTCTTTCTATATACGTTTTTCTTCTTTTTGAAATTTGCTGTAGGCATTGTCTGTTTATAACTCACAATAAAACCCTTAATAAAGCAGGCACTTATTGAAATTAACTGGTTTGGTAAACAAATTGCATCATGAAAATGACTGCCACCATTAAATTTTGCTTTCTAAAGAAATTTTGATCTGTTGAGCTGTGTTAATGTAAAGGAAAATGTAAGGGGTTAAATTAGTAATGTTGCTTAGTATAGACTAAAAATTTATTATTCCGGAGTCTCATAGATTTTTGCTGTTGTAAAAAACAACTCAATGCAGATATAGGAATTTAAAGTAAACTAAAAAGGAAAATAGAACAATTTCTTTCCATATGTGCGCTTTTTTGCACGTAAATGTAAATCACAACTTCTTGATTCTTGTTGTGGATCCATGTGCACAGAATAAACCATATTAAAAATTGTCCTTGCTTTCAAGTTTCTGCTGTTACTATTTTTAAGTTCTTGTTTTTGTATTGTTTAATGGGCATTTTTGTTGTTGCTTGTGTAGTCTGCTTCGCAAGTTCATCCGAGTCAATTTGCAGCTGGTTTTGCAGATGGTTCAGTTAAATTGTTCGACATTCGAACTCCAGATATGTAAGGAATTTTTTTTTTTCTTTCTTTCTAATGTCCTCCAACATGGTTATTTTCCAAATTTATCTATGGTATCATTCTGATAAGCATTAATACTGCAGGGCTTTCCACTTTGTTTACGATTATAAATTCATTTGATGTGTGATTTTCCTACAGATAATCTTGTTTCAGGAATGGTAGTATGAAAAACCATCTTCCATCTGTGGCTTAAAGAAGTTTTATTTTATTTATTGTTTATTTCTTTAAATTGGGAAGTATTGTAAATTATCAACACTCTAGTTATTTATCAGCTGTTCGGATCCTTTATATCATCTAAAGTTTTTTAATAATCAACACCTAATCATAGTTAACACTTTTATATCATTTGATCTAAATCTGTATTATCCAGGCCTGTATGCGCAAGACGGCCACACAATCAGCCGGACGGGAGGAGAACAGAAAGAGTTGTGGGGGTCGGCTTTCAACCTGGACTTGATTCTTCAAAGGTAGAAAAAGTTATCTCGTTCATGCTCTATTTGTTTCCTTGGAAAATATTTTCTGCATTTTCTAGTGTTTGATACAATAGAAAACGTTTTTAATGGTCAACAGAAAATAAACTTATTTAGGCAGAAAATGTGTTCCATTTTGTAAGGTGAAACGTTTTCTAGACTAACGTTATCAATGCCACCACCTACCACTGGTGCCGCCGCCACCACCACCAATATAACCCTTAGTACATTAGTTTCAAGGTTGCAACCAAACATAGAAAACATTTTCTGAAAAAAGATTTTTGTAAATGTTTTTCATTGAAGCAAACAGAGCATTATTAGAAGTATTCAGTTGGAAATCAATGCTTGCAGTAATCTGATATCTTTCAAATGCAGATGCTATAGTTACGCATTTCCCCTTCTAAATTCTTGTCAAACTTGGCAATTTCCTACTTTTGTGTACTCAGATTGTCAGTGCATGTCAAGCCGGTGACATTCAGTTCCTCGATATCAGACAGAAGGAGGATATGTACTTGACCATTAACGCTCACCGGGGCTCCCTCACAGCTCTAGCTGTTCATCGACATGCCCCTGTTATTGCTAGTGGCTCGGCCAAACAGTTCATCAAAATCTTCAATTTGGGGGGTTCTTTATTAGGCAACATAAGATATGCCCCAACGCTCATGGGCCAGAAAATAGGTTCTGTGAGCTGCCTCACCTTCCATCCCTACCATGTGCTCCTCGCTGCCGGTGCCGCCGATGGTTGCGTCTCTATCTACGCTGATGAAATGCCTCCCACAATGTGAATAGACATTTTGATTCTTGTCTTCGAAAGCTTTTCCAGTCCAGAGGCGTCGGAGAGGCACGGCATTGCGTTGAAAAGTCAACAATGCAACTCGGGTTTGCGGGAAATATAGGTGGGGCCCAGTGTTCCAAGTGTATGGTATATATTCTTTTTAGCCTCTTCCATTGTTGAGGGTGTCATACAAGTTGGGAAGAAATCCAGCATATATATTCATTGGAGGCTTTGGCAAATAATCTGATGTTAGGTAAAAATGTAAATATTTTCTTTCCTTTTTTTCTTTTAATTCTCTCTCCCCTTGTTTTTCTGGTGTGCTCTATTTTTTTACCCCCTCCATACCTTTGTTCAATTTGTAAAAGCAGCTAATTCATCATTATTATAATTTATGTTTCTTTGAGAAGCAGAGTTTTGCTATGGCTTCTTAAACTCTTCTGCTGTGTGTTGGATCTCGGATTTGTGGAGGAAAAAAAAAGAAAAAAGACAAAAAAAACAAAGAGTGAAAAGTGTATAAAGTGTAGTTTTTTTTTTTTTTGTTCATTTCTTTTGGCAAGAAGAAAAGAAATTCATACTATCAACAATGGACACTTTCAAAAACCCAAAAAAAAAAAAAAAAAAAAAAAACACAAATTAGCAAAGAAGAGAGACACATTATTAATGAAGTGTCTTTTAGGAGGAGCTTTGACGAGACATGATCATTGCGCTTTGGATTTTCTTAGCGCCTGTATTTTCTTAGAACCGCCTCCACCCTTGTATGACTATGCTTTATTGCTTGGATTCTCTCCTTATATGACTAACTTTATTGTTTTGATTTTCTTAGAATTGTCTTCATCATAGGTCACTATCGGCTTGGAGATTGGATTCAAGTTCTGTAAGTCGTGGAGTTTGTTGAACAGAGATGACAAATGCAGAATCCTCAACCACAATTATAGTTAAGTCAATGTGGTTCAGATGGCTTACTCATGAATTGATTCTGATTTGAAACTAGTCGTGGTCAGCTTATCAACACGTCAACCTGCACTTCTTTTGCTTGATACAATTCTTTCTCTTGATTCTCAACGACCGAGAATCTAGGTCAACGGAAGAATCGAAATTTTCTTCTGATATATGTTTCATTGGCTTTTTTAGATGAGATCCTTCCTTCAAAGCCGTCATCGACCAAATGCAATTGTATTGAAATGGATCATTGCCTTTATACTCCCATCTTTCAAATTTATTTGTCTGTACAACCAAAAGTACAATGCAAAACTTACCCCAACCAAACCACAAACCAGAGTGATTATATTCAATGTCAAACAAAAGAGCACTTGAGATTAGTAGTGTTTAGGAATTTTTTAATAACTAGATTAGTCTCAATTAATTAATACCTTTTCCCCCTTGTTTCTCTGAAAGATATTCCATTTCTTTTCATTCCAAAAATTTATAATCTAAACAGAGCATTAGCAATTGAAAGTTGTCTCTTTTGAGATTTGACCTGAACAAGTATAGAATCCATTTTGAATTGAGATTTGAACTAAGTAAGAAAAGAATCCGAATCGAATTGAGATTGTCATTTTGTTTCACAGTATGACCATGGAGCTCAAATTTGAACTGTATAAGTATATACCCTCCATTGACAGCATGAGTGAAAGGACTTCGCGTGGTGTCCTTTACTAATTGTAACCCATTCATCCATAAAATACCTGCAAGCAAAGAAAGTCAGTCTACATTGTTTGAGGAAGAAATCGGTGGGAACCGAATCATATTTCATATTTTCAAATGATAAATATGTTCTTAATCCAGCTTCTAGCAACAACTACACAACGACGTTGGTGATGAAGCAAGGCCACGATTTTATCAAACCTAATGGACTCTAAATACATGCAAATTGAAAAATCAAATAAATCACTTCATATGTTTGCATAAACAGCGAATCACATTTACTTTCTCCCACCCACCATGCTTTGGCCAGACATTCCTGACAAGCTAGGAGCTCCATTGCCAAGAACATTAAGATCTTCAAACAATCTGTATGAGGGAACAAAGGAAGTAGTGGTCCTCGGACCGGTGCTCACCCTTGGCTCTCCATTCATAGGCAATTCATTGTTTCCCCTTGCATGGAAAGGGTTCATGTGCTGCAACGGTCCGACTCCTTGCATAGACAAATAGGACGCACTTGCATTGGGTCCTGGAGTTGAAAACATGTAAGGCGTTGTAGATAAATTGTTTTGGTTGCTAAGGTAACCAGGAGTCGGTGCCCATGGAGGAGGAGGATAGCTAGATGAGAACTGATGATATTGAGGTTGAGTTTGAGGCTGTAGTTGTGGTTGTGTTTGGGGCTGGGCCCAAGGAACAACATAACTGTTGAAGGGTACTTGTCCTTGGTTGAATGGTAGGTGTCCTTGGTTTCCAGGATAAGCCTGGGAGGCATGGGGATACCCTTGAGCTGTTGGGGAAGCGGGTGCCTGAGGAATGTTCTGGGAAGACGCAGCAGGAGCGTGATTGGTTTGAGGAGCGTTTGAAGTAGTTGACAAGGTGATACTCAAAAGGTCTATCATATCTTGCTCTTTTGTGGTCCTAGTTGGTGCAGGTGGATCAGACAGAGCTAATGCATTGCTCAGAACAGGGGTTGACGCTGCTGGTATGGATGATACTGTGTCGTTGCTAGCATTTGCAAAGGCAACACTTTCACTAGAACCAGTAGACCCGTCTTGAGAACTAGTTGACCGTGTTTTGGAATGCCTGCATTCATGAAGATTGTAAAATTCTAAGAATTGACGAACGGAATCAACATCTTCATCAGAGAACTTAGAGATATCTGAGTCATTGACAACCACTGCAAGAACAGTATCAGATGTGGCTTCTTCTTCTTGTAAAAAGAATACAGATTCAACATCATGAAATATACCAATTATGAACCACATCACAACTTTAGATAAAAAGGTCCAATAAACAACAGTGTACTTCGACAGAGGAAGGTGGGGGACTCTAGATGAGCGATCTCCCATGCCAGAATTTGAGCTCATCAATAATAATATACCATATGCCTCTAATATTGCAGACGACCATCGATCAGAATGGAAAAGCAATCAAATGATCAAGATCATCAAATCTTGATGTGTATGTGTGACATGTACACTAGTGTAGTGCAATTCCCTGTATGTATGATAACCAACATGCAAGTAAAAAGCAACCTTTGAGCCAGCTGTGCGAAGTCATCTTCCTCATCTTCGTCTTCTTGAACCTTGCCCTTTGTTGCCGCAATGCCAGCCACACCTGGCGAAGAGGTGTTAGCATCTGGTGTCTGGTTCGGTTCTTTAACTTCTGTAGGTTTGAGGTTGGAGTTGGATTCAGTCAGAAAGTGGGAACCAGAAACTATAGCGTCGTTTTGCAAGCACACTCTGCAGGCTATCATTTAATTCAAGACCCTGACTGAGAAGTTCTTCATCCCTGCGCCACAGACATAATCACAACCATAAAGACATCCGAGGAATCCATGACACAAAATGCTTGGTGACACTTCAAATGGGTGTTGTGTCAATGCCAGACACGTACGAGACATCGACATGCCGGGGACATGTGTGTCCGTGTGTTGGACATGCGTGGTGTCAATTTTTTTAATTATTATTTTTTTTGTAGGACACTTTGGGGACACTTTATGGACACGCTTTAGGACACTTTTGTGAGTTTCTTTTTTTGCAATTTTAGAAAGATGATTTGAGGTTAAAGTAAAATTTATGGAAACAAAGAGGGAGTAAAGTGAAAAAAATACCGACATATACATTGATGCCTCTTATCATATCTGTGTCCTAAAATTATATTCATATACAAGAAAATAAAATATATAGAAATGAACAAGCACATGTCCATGACTGTGAAAATGAACAAGCACTTAGACCAGTCAAAATGTAGTGTCCATAATCCATGTCTGTGACCATGCCTTTTATGCACCAGCTAATACATAGAAATGAACAACACAAAAATTGCTAAAGATTTGTGAACGGAAAGATTCCCAATATGTCTTAAAATTCTCATTGAGTTCCACCTGAATCAATTCTCTCACTATAGTGTAAATACGACTTGCTGAAAATTTTATGAGAAAAGTAGATGTCATTGGGAATTTTCCATTTGTGAATTGAATGGAAAATAACAGAGACAATGTAAGAGAACTTGCGTGGTTGTAGTCAACATCTGCATCATCCTCTTCTGGTTGGAACGACACTGGTCGACAAGATCGACTATCACTTCATCTTTTACAGACTACAAACACAAAAGAAACATGTGAGGCTTTATGACAATCTCTGTGAGGACGGGCAAATGAGACAATTGGACATACCGCACGGTCACTTGGATTCACAGCTTGCAGCATGTCAGCTAAGAGATCCAGAACATTCCGCATAGAATTTAAGCTTGATAAACTAAGAGAGTGACAAAAAGAAAATGAACCAAAATGGCAAAATAGCATACAACAGTAAGATAGGAGCATTAGCGTGTGCAACCAAAGTCGAATCCTCACCTCAAATTTTCCATATCAGCTGTCATGGCTTCATCAAGCCTAGTTGAAGCATTGTTCGGGGCATTCCATAACCTGCTTGAGCATGACTTAAAGTTGAATGGCTAACAGGTGGTGTAAATATTGGAGCTGCATCTGGTGAACGCTTGGGAAATACTACTCCAGCATGCTGTCACAAGTACAACACACAATATAAAATAATATTTCTGCTACAGTTTTACCCAAAAGCACTAATACCCTAGCTATTTACGTTTTGGAACATGGTACACTTTCATTCCAAAATGGAGAATTTAGTGATCTAAAGTGATCCCAATTTTTTTTTCATTATATTCTCTAAAAAGTTTCCTATAAGAGGAAAAAAATCAAATATAATGAACTAAAATCTAGAGAAAATGGAGTTCTAGCATAACCAAATATAAACAAATGAACTATGATGCTAATAGAATTGTGTTTTTACATGATTGATTTTATTACAATATTTTATTGGATGTCTAACTACTAACATATAATTTCTATTATAGTAGTGCGATCTATACAAACCTACTCCTATCGTACCACCTTTTAAAGCATGTGGCATGCCTTGTTTTCATTCTTGTTTCTCGTACCAGAACAATCCGCATTCCAAGTAACATAGTTCTGTCATTTGCCACACTCATCAAACTTTGAACAAATAATAATACTATTTTCCTATTTAGTAATGATACATGCAAACTCTAGCATAGATAGTTGACATGCATCAATTAATCCTACAAAATATACTAGAGATTCAACCCCAACGAATAACACTTAATAATCCTATTAAATTGTCTAATTAGTCCTCCGATTTAGAAAGACTATGCTTCTTATGAGATAACTCATAAAAGTACTTCTCCTGATTGAAGTCTAACTCAATCAAATTATGCATATATCATAGACAACAACTCCTTATGATTGTCATTCACTT